AGAGAGAGGGAGAGGGAGAAGGGGAAGGAAAAGAGAAAGGGGTGGCAAGAGGTAGAAGACAGAGGCAGATGGAGAGAAGTACCTCTTTTTGTGGAATTTTCACGGGCCTGCTAGTTTTATCATTATCATTGTCATTATCATTATTATTATTATTATTATTATTATTATTATGATTATTATTATTATTATTATTATTATTATTATTATTATTATTATTATTACTACTACTATTATTATTATCATTATTATTATTATTATCATCATCACTGTTATCATAATTATTATTATTCTATCATTATAGCTATTACTATTATTATTATCATCATCACTGTTATTATAATTATTATTATTACATCATTATAGCTATTACTATTATCATCATCATCATATTATTATCATTATTATTTTATTTTTACTATTATTATTATCATTATCAATTATTATTACCTCCGCCAAGGAGGTTATGTTTTTGACGGCGTTGGTTTGTTGGTTTGATTGTTTGTTAGCAGCGTAGCTCAAAAAGTGCTGGCCGGATTTTATCGAAATTTTGGGGACAAGTCAGAAAGGGACTAACTTAGAACTGATTAAATTTTGGTGACATTCCGAATTACCGTCTGGACGCAGCCAAAGTATATATATTATATACGCACCTTGGCGGAGGTATGCACTCTCTGAGTGCTTTTCTAGTTATCATTATTACTATTATTTTTATTATAACTATCACTATTATTAATTATTATTATTATTACTATTATCATTATTTTTTATTATCATTATTATTATTATCATTATCATTATCATTATCATTATCATCATTATTGGTAAATATTCAGAACTTCGCACGACCTATCACGACAATAGTGTTATCGCCGGATTCCTCTCCCCCTCCATTCTCTAAGGCCCATATAAGTTGGACTTTTGCCTCGGAATCCCCGCAAACTCTCACATTCTTGGTCCTGGTAGCAGCAGAGAGCAGGAGAGGTACCAAAAATATGAATATACACTAAATACGTCACTATAGTAATATATACAGACTGAACGACTGACATTTGGGGTGAACGCGGTAACATACTGCCTAGGAATGATAATTAACTAGCCTGATTGGTGGATGACAATGGTCTAGAATAACCCACATTCTTGTCACTACATGATTCTGACTATATCACATGTTAGCATGCTGCTACTTAGGCTACATTCTTATGAACATGTGATTTGCTATTGCTCCGCCATGTCGTACAAGCGCGGGATATGATACATACTAACTGTACAACCGCGGTGCCTGTAAGCGCCCGATACCAAGGTCTATTTAAGTACTTATATAGACCTTGCCCGATACCGCTCTATCCTTCCGTACATACGTAGTGGATTCTTTGTCATCCAGAGGTTGCAGAGGAAACAGCCTCCAGCATTTGTTATATACAATTCTGTGTGTGTTATTCATATTTTACCCCCGCACATTCCTCGATACATTTCATGCCCTCCCCTGCTACCGGACCAAAATTGTTGGCATGGGGGGAGGAGGTCGCGGCATAATTTCTATATATATATATTAGTAAGGGCGGCCATACGAAAGTCATCTGAGTAACTACCTTATTATTGGTATTATCCTTATAATTATCATTACCATTAGTATTATCATTATAATTACCATTACCATTAGCATTATCATTATAATTATCATTACCATTAGTATTATCATTATCATTACCATTAGTATTATCATTATAATTATCATTACCATTAGTATTATCATTATAATTATCATTACCATTATCATTATCATTATAATTATTATTACCATTAGTATTATCATTATCATTACTATTACCATTAGTTATTGAAAATTTTCTACCGCGTCAACACCTAAGGTCATTAGCGGCGTATTCAAAATATTGCGATAGCGTGAGGCTTGGGGACAAAGCCCCCAGGTAAGGAAGTGCTATATGGCCTCAAAGGTCATAAGGCACTATAGTAAAGTATAATAGTCAGAAGGGTTAGGAATGAGTTATTGATTAAGGTATAGTTACAGGTTGAACAGTACTAGAGGGTAGTATGGTAGTTAAAAGGGTAGAGAGGGGGAGCTAATGGGGTATAGTGTAAGGTAAAGGTTGTTAGAAGGGGGAGGAGTTAAGGGAGTAGGGAGCATTATGATAAAGTATTAAGGCGGAAACGGCAAAAAAATGAGTTAACGATTACGATAAGTGAACAGAACAGAGGTAAGAAGAAAAGGAAAAGGAAAGAGGAAGGAGAAAAGACCATGCAAAATTAGCCGAGCCGAGGGCTGACGACGAAGGTATCGGTGATCCCCACACTGGACCTCAGTCCCCGTCTCCTAAGGCCCCACGACAACAATGAGCAAGGGATTGAGGTATAATAACAATAATGATTGAGATTATCATTACCTTTATCATTATCATTATCATTAGCAATTATCATCATCATTGCCATTACTATTTCCATTGTCATTATCATTATCATAATCGTTATCGTTATTATAATC